CGAAGTCAGCGGTGTAGCGGCTGGAAAATCACCCTCCGCAGACGAGGCTCTGGTGAAGGGTAGAGTCTCGTCTGGAGAAACAGCTATCCGACCCCGTTTTTTACGGGGTCTACGGGGAATTTCTGCCCAAGCCTACGGGCTCGGACACCTCACATTAAACTTCGGCCTTGTGCTACAGGTGGTTAATGAATATCTACTTGCGATTACTTACTTCTAGCATTTGAATACTTTGTAGAGGGCCGTGGCTGTTATGTTGGCGGTTACGGTTTGTTGAGAGAAGACAGACGTGGACGAAACGCCTGTAAGGTTCAGATTCTCCTGCTAGCCGGCCCAACTACATAAAAAGGTTGGACTTGGTTAAGTCCAAAGAAGAAGGAAAAGAAAGCAAACAAAAACAAGACCGATAATATATGTATACACAACAAATATATATTCATAACAAGTTACAATACAAGAAAACAGTACAAAGGACAAAGTGTGTGGGAATATTCCGTGTGTGAGCGTGTGTGTATTGTGCTTAGCGTGATTTCACGCTATTTCTTGTTAGGGACTACATTTTGAGGTTGATAGTTGAAATCCTCTAGGAAGACGAGAAATTTACCTCGGTGCGTTAGTGCACAAGCCTGAAAAGTAAAAAGAGAGATCGAAGCGAAGGGTCATTGGCTATTTATAGCCAGGAAAGAGAGACCTCTGGTGAAAGGGTTACAAACTGAAGGAGGAGGTAACTCCGACAATACCCCCACCAGATTAAAGGTTGTAAGGAAATGAAAACTTTTAATATATAAAGAAAAAAAAGGTTCGTTAAAGTCTGAATATTGTTCTTGTGGGCTGAAAAGAAAATGTGTCAGAAGTGTGGTTGAGATTCGTGATTCGACGAAATGTAGTGTTGTCTCAGGGTGCAGTGTTATATTTCAGTGAGTTAGAATTGGGCACGTCCTGTAAAATGCGTCGGTAGTGGTCTGCGTTGCTATCAAAATTTGTCTTTTTTTTGCTCCACGTTGAATTGGTTGTGTCGATCTATGCACCTGTCTGCTGGCTTGTTTGTAGTTGGTTTGAAAAACGAGGTGGTTCGTGTGGGTTTCATCGGCGCACTAAAGTTAATAGACGCAGCGTATTCGTGAAGTTGAGCTGAATTTCTACCGAGTGTCGAATGCATGTTTGAGAGAATTTGCTGGTATTGTCGATAGAGTATCGTTCTGGCAAAATCTCGGTTTGTTTGAGTCGCGTAATTGCAGAATGAGATGAAGGACGGTGAATTGCCTTTTAAGACTGCATTGGACATTTGAAATATGTGCAATGTTTAGCACAATGTGAGTGGATGTGTAGTCAGTTGAAGTTGTGTTGACTAGAATGTCCACGTGTGTTTGAGAAGAATGAGAAGCAAGCAGTGGCGTGAAGATATCGCCACGTGGTGTAAGTTGAGTGTTGCTTCATGTCGGAATCACGAATGTTGTTTAAAAAATGAGACAGTGAGTCGTCTGCAATGGTTTGGAATCACCAATCGTATATAATGGAACAGTGAGTCGTCCAGTGGTTTGGTTCACACTTTTTTTCTATTTCAGTCCAGAAGAAAACAGTGTTAGTAGAAAATAGCGTTGTTTTCCGTTTGGTACAGCCTTAAGCATGTCTGCCGGGTGAAATTAGGTCAAACGTCGCCGAGAGAAAGAAAGGGTCAAGCAAATATAGACCAGTGGGTAAAGAGTTCTAAAGGTTCGTCTTCAATAGTAGTAATTGTTGTTCTTTCGTTGATAGTGTACGAAAAGAAGTTTTTCTCAATTTTTTTTTCCTATCTGGCTCTCTTTTTGGGAAGGTGTGTGTATAAGAAATTGTTTGTTTTTGTACATATATATCGTCTTGTGTGTTTTTTTAGCAGGAGTGGAAAAATCACGTCCAGGTCACCATTTGTAGAGGGCCGTGGCTGTTATGTTGGCGGTTACGGTTTGTTGAGAGAAGACAGACGTGGACGAAACGCCTGTAAGGTTCAGATTCTCCTGCTAGCCGGCCCAACTACATAAAAAGGTTGGACTTGGTTAAGTCCAAAGAAGAAGGAAAAGAAAGCAAACAAAAACAAGACCGATAATATATGTATACACAACAAATATATATTCATAACAAGTTACAATACAAGAAAACAGTACAAAGGACAAAGTGTGTGGGAATATTCCGTGTGTGCGAGCGTGTGTGTATTGTGCTTAGCGTGATTTCACGCTATTTCTTGTTAGGGACTACATTTTGAGGTTGATAGTTGAAATCCTCTAGGAAGACGAGAAATTTACCTCGGTGCGTTAGTGCACAAGCCTGAAAAGTAAAAAGAGAGATCGAAGCGAAGGGTCATTGGCTATTTATAGCCAGGAAAGAGAGACCTCTGGTGAAAGGGTTACAAACTGAAGGAGGAGGTAACTCCGACAATTTACTTACTTCTAGAAGTTGATTACTACACGCCGCTGGCGTATGTTGTTTCTGTTATAAATATTATCGTTCATTTTCAATCTTCGTTTTGGTTATTCTTATTCAGTAATCATTTCCTAGGTTACAACAATTATCACTCATATTTTGCATTTGAAAACAGCTTTTTGTGTGAGGATCGCTTCTAGTTATTAATTTTTCATATGTCACATTGTGATCGAAAAAAAAAAATTTTTTTTCTGTGAGGTCTGCTATTAATGAAAAAATTATCATTATTTGTCATACGAGAAAATATATTCTTTTGTGCAGGTATGGCTTTTAATGATTAAATTATAATCACTTGTTACATTTTGTATAGAGAGAAAAACATCTCTAAACAAATTAACAGCATTTCTCTCATTTAGGATTTAAAATAGCATTTAGCATGAGTATAACACTTTGGTCGCTCTGGTCTAAACCGTTATTCTGCCCACGTTGTGTTGATAGATCACAGATCTGGTAAAGATCAGATTGTCGTCAGCAATTGCAGTGTTGGTTCGATTCCGACAAAGGAAAAATGTTCTTGCAGACGAATAAAGAAAAGACAGGAATGTCTTCAGGATCTATTTCTATACAATTTTATATCGTTCTTTGTACAATATTGGTTCTTGGTACAGAAATATTAACCCCTCCCACTTTGAAGTCTATCATGACACTTTGCTTAGTTTAGCGAAGTCTGGAACAAGGCTCGAGCCGGAGGTTCAAGTGTGATTCGGCTCGTCTGGAACTGCTATCTGGCCTGGCCGCTTTAGTATTCTGCTTATATTGGCTGGTATGGGTGTGGAGCTCTCGATGTTTCTCCTGTCTTACGACAAGGGCTCCTTTGTTGTCTGGCTCTGCATAATTAATTAACCCTCCAAAATTGGAGAAATCAACTCAACTCCTTCCTTCCCTTATTTGCGCCTCGCACTCACACTTCCCAATGGGCGTAGGCAATTCCTCCGTCCTTCCTGGTATTTCACTTGTTGCTATCACTATGGTTGTTCAATCTGGTTCTCAACCGCGTGGCGTGGCTTAGTTCGTGCTCATTAGTTATAATTATCATTTCAATTTCTCATCCACAAAGTTTCTCAGCCTGATCTTATTCATAAAATCAGAAATTTACCAGCTGCTTCCTCCGGTCAGTTAATTTCCACTCCAGGAACCCTGAGTTTGGGACTTTATATAAAATTCTACCTTCTTGTTTTGTTTACAGTTTCCAAAATAAATCAGTTTCTCGATTTTGCCCTGTCCTTAAAAATTGTCAAATTTCTATCGCTCGATTTGTGTCTTTGTCACTGGCAGTGTCATCAAGCACCTGTCAAACAGCATCGCCACATGGCCTCTTTGGTGATTTTTTTAACAGAATCACTTTTTTTCGAAGTATCTCATCCCTAAAAAGAAATAGACTTTGGAAATAAAAAGAAATAGACTTTGGAAATAAAAAGAAATCTCTTTTCCTTCTTTAACTCTTCTCGACTTGTTCCAAACTATATTTCAGTTTTTAACTAGTTTTCGTTCGCCAGCGTCCCATAGTGTCACATTAGGGTCGCTTATAATTATTACATCATTGTTATTTGTCACATTTTTGCTCGAGTATCAAGCAAAAATTATTATTAATTAATAATTATAATTATTAAATGTTTCATATTTTGGAATGAAAAAAAACTAAGAAAACTTATGATTATGAAACTGTCACATCTGAAAAGCGGCATGTTTGTGTTAGCCTCGCTTCTAATTATCATTATATATCAATTTTTGCATGAAAAATCATTTTCTACGATGAACGATTCTAATTATTAAATTTTCATTATTTGGCACATTTTGGAGCGAGGATAACTTCTAATTATTTGTCATATTTTGTATTAAGAAACGACATATTTACGCGAGACACGATTTTAATTATCATATTTTGTCACATTTTAGATTGAAAAGCAGCTTTTTAAATTATCATTATGCGTCATATTTTAGGTAGAAAAAGATTATTTTGTGTGAGAGTCGCTTCTAATTATTACATTATCATTATTTGTCACATATTGAACTGAAAATCCGCATTTCTTTTGTGAGGATCGCTTCTTCTTATTAATTTATTTGTCAAATTTTATGTTGAAAAACATCCAATTTAACCGAGGATCACTACTAATAAATTATTATAATTATTCACATTTTAGATTGAAAAACGGTATATTTGTGCGAGACCTGGTTCTAATTATTAAATTATTATTTTTGTCAGGAGATTGATCATAATTATTAAATTATCGTCATTTGTTACATTTTGCACTGAAAAATCTTTTTGTGAGAAGATCGCTTCTAATTCAATTATAATATCGGTCACATTTTAGATTGAAAACAATTTTTTATATGAGATTTATCATTATTTGTCACATTTTTTAAATCAGCATTTTTACATGAATATTACAACAAATTATTAAATTATAATTATTTAATAAATAATGGAAAACAGATATTTTGCACCATTTAAGTCTCTTTCTGCCCCACCAACTTTGCCCGTTTTCGTCTATTGATGCGCCGCCACCACTTCCCCTTTGCGGCCATATTTGCCTCGTCAACTCTGGATGTTTGCCCCTATCTATGCCCTGTCATCTCTGCACATTTGCGCCTATCTCTGTCCAACGACATCTGCCCGTTTGCGTCTATCTATTCCCCGCCAACAATGCCCGTTTATGCCAATCTCTTCCCCGCCAACAATATCCGTTTACCATTTTTCGTCTATCTCTGACCCATCAACTCAGTGCCGATTGTGTCAAATCTACATCTTTTTAACTCTACACTTTTTGGTCTACATATACATCAACAACTGTGGCCACGTCTACCCGATTACGTCGATCTCTCCCCGGCAACAATACCTGTTCCGCTTATCTCTGCCCAAAGCTCTACACTTTTACGGTCTATCACTGCCCACTAGCTGTGCCCATTTTTGTCAATCTCATCTCATCCACACCACTCTTTGTGTCTATATGCCCCGCTACCTCTGCCAGTTTGCATCTATCTCTGCCCCGACACCTTTGCATGTTTGTGCTTATCTCTAGCAACTGTTCCCAATTAATTTGTTTGGGCCTAGATCTGGCCCGACAACACTGCCAATAAACGTCTATCTCTTCCCCGCCAATTCTTCGCTTTGGCGTTTATATATGCACCGCCAACAATACAGGTTTGCATGCCCAGCCACCTCTGTCTGTTTCCGCCTATCTCTTCCTCGCCACCTCTGCCCGTTTCTGCCTATCTCTACCCGACCAACTCTGCACGTTTGCACTTATCTCTTACCGGCCACTTCTGTTCGTTTATATCCCGCCACCACTTCCCGTTTGCGTCTATCTCTGTCTACACCCCTCCTTCTGTCCGTTTGCATCTATCTCTTCCTGGCCAATTCTGCTCCTTTGCGTCTGTCTCTACCCCGCCACCACTGTCCGTATACGTCTATCTCTGCCCCGTCAACAACGTCAGCATGAGTCTATCCGCCAACTCTGGCTGTTGGCTTCTTCTTCTGGTCTGCCAACAATGCCCATTTACGTCTATCTCTACCCCACATACATACACCACTGACCGTTTGCGTCTATCTCTTTCCGGACATTTCTGCTCGTTTGCGTCTATTTGCTCAGCCAAATCCACCCGTTTGCCTGTATCTGCCACGCAAACTATTCCCGGTTGCGTCTATCATTTTCCTGTCAGCAATGCCTATCTGCATCTATCTCTGCACCACCCTCAGTGTACATTTGCGTCTATCTCTGCTCGCCAACTCTGATCGTTTGCGTCTATCTCTGCCTCGACATCTCTAACCGTTTGTGTCTACCTCTGCCCCGCAAACTACACCCGTTTGCACCTCTGCCATTTTGCGTCTGTATCTGCCCTGTCACCACTGTCCGTTTATTTTTATCTACGCCCTGCCAACAATGCCTCTTTTCGTTTATCTCTCACCCGACAACAATGCTCATTTGCGCCTATCTCTGCCCCTCCACCTCTGCCCCTGTGTGTCTTTCACTGGAGACCACCTCTGCCCGTTCGCGTCTATCACTACTCCGTCAACAATGCACGTTTATATCTATCTTTGAGACACCGACTTTAACAGCTATCACTGCCCAGCTAACTTTGTCCGTGTGTGTGTCTGTCCCGTCATATCCGCCTGTTTGTGTCTATCGCTACCCCGCCAACACTGTCCGTTGCTTCCTATAACGTCCCCGCAAACACTTTCAGTTTACGATTATCTCTGCTCCAAAAACTCTGGCTGTTTGCACCTATCTCTGCCCCGCCAGCTCGATTTTGACTACTTTATTGATGTTTTTTAACTTTTCAAATACTAAACTTTAGTTAATATAACTTCATGCACCCAAAAATGCCACTTTCCGTCTATCTCTACTCCGCTTGCTCCGCTCGTTGAATCTATCTCTGTCGCACCATCTCTGACTATTTGGGCCTATTTTACGTCTATCTCCCCCGCCCCCGCCAAAAATGCTCGTTTGCCTTGCTCTCTGCCCATTTGTGTCTAACTCTTCTCCACTCTGCACATTTGGCTCTATCTCTGCCCCGCTAACAATTCAGTTTGCGTCTATCTCTGCTGCGGCAACTTTGCCCGTTTGCGTCTAAAATTGCACCACACACGAGAGATTGTGCAAACGAATAGAAGTGGTAGGGTAGAGATTGACGCAAAATGGCAGAGGTGACGGGGAATCGTTGCAATAGGACATACGTGGTGGGGGATAGATAGAAGCAAACTGGCAGAATTGGTGAGGGATAAGTAGACGCAATCAGGTAAACGTAACGAAACGCAGATGCAAACGGGCAGAGTCGGGCAGGAAGAGATAGATGCAAATGGGCATTGTTGATGGGTCAGAGAGAGACGCAAACCGGAAGTGGTGGCCGAGCAGCGATAGGCCAAATCGTGTTTTCTTGGAGGGTCAGAGATAGGTGTAAACTAGCAGAGGTAGCAAGTCAGAGATACGCACACACGTGCAGAGCTGGTGGGTGGTGGACACAAACGAGCTGAGTTGGCGAAGGAGAGAAATAAATGCAAATGAGCATTGTTGTGGAGGGGGCAGATATAGACACAAACGGGAAGAGGTGGCGGGACAGAGATGTGCATAATCGCTTTTTTGATGTAGCAGAAATAGACGAAAATGGGTAGGGTTAGCGTGAGATCTAGATGCAAACTGGCATTGTTGGCGGGACAGCGATAGATACAAAGGGCATGATTTTCAGGGCAGAGATTGGTGCAAAATTAAAGGTGGTGGGGTAGAGATTGACGCAAACGGGCAGAAAAGGTAAGGCAGAGATTGACTCAAACAGGCAGAGATGGCGGGGCAGTAAAGTCAAGTAGACGTGGCGCGGCATAGATAGACGCAAACGGCACGTGGGCATTGCTTAGGGACAAATCCAGGGGCAAATCAGGCGCAGAGGTAGCGGCACAGTGAGTTAAACGCAAACGGGCTAGGTAAATATGAACGTAAACGACCATTGGTGGCGGGCCAGAAATAGACGAAAACAGGGATCGTTGGTGGAGCAAAGATAAGCGCAAACGGGCAGAAGGAACGGGGTAGAGATAGAAGCAAACAGGCATCTCTGACGGAAAGTGACAGAAGTGGCAGAGCATTGATGGACATAAACGAGGCAGAGATAGACGCTAATGATCAGATAGGTCGGGGCGAGAAAGATACAAACGGGCAGGGCTAGCGAGTCAGAAATAGGCTGAATCGGGTTTTCTTGACGTGGCAGACATAGACGTAAACGCGCAAAGGTGGCAGGTCAGAGATAGATGTATATAGATAGAAGTGGCGGAACAGGGATAGGCACGAACGGACAGATCTGGCTAGGGAGAGATAAATGTAAATGAGCAGGGTAGTGATAGACTTAAAGCGGCAGAGATGACGCGGCTGCGATAGACGCAAATCCCCTTTGGCGGAGTAGAGAAGGCGCAAAAGTGATTTGTTGGCAGGTCAGTGATGGCGAAGCAAAGATAGGCCGAATCAGGCGTGGCACAGACAGACACAAACGTCAGATATAAACTAGCAAAAAGGGGAGGAGCATGGGCAACGGGTAGGGCAAACGGGGGCAGAGATTGCGCAAATGGGTAGAGTTGGCGGACAGAGATAGACGTACATGTGCAGATCTGACGGGGCAAAAATGTAAGCACACTTTCAGGTTTGGCGAAGCAGAAATAGACGCAAGTGTGCATAGTTTCAAACGATGTATTGTTGGTGAAGTAGACACAAACGGACAGAGATTGCAGAGTAGAGCTAGACACAACGGGCAGAGTTTACGGTATATTGATAGACGAGGACGGGAATTGTTGGCGGGGCAGATATTGAAGCATACGGGCAGAGTTGGTGGGGCAGAGATAGGCGCCAATTGATTGATATGGAGGAGCAGAAATAAACGCCCATGGGCATTTTTGCTGGGCAGAGGTAGACGCAAACGAACAGTATTAGCTGGACAGATATAAACGCACATGGGTAGAGGTGGCGGGTCAGAGATAGACGGTCAGAGGTGGCGCGGTAGAGATAGACGCAAACGAGCACTGTTGGCGGGGAAGTGATGGGAGCTTTGTCGAGGCACAAATAGTCTCAAAATGGCAGAGGTGAGGGGCAGAGATAGGCGCAAACTTGCATAGTTGGTAGGGAAGGTATAGGCGAAAACGAATGGAGTTAGCGGGGTGGAGATAGACAAACGGGTATAGACGAAAACATGCAATGTTGGCGGGGTAGATATAGTTGGGGGCAGAGTTAGACACAAACAGACAAAGGTGACAGGGAAGAGATAGACGGAAACGGACAGAAGCGAACCGACAGAAATAGACGCAAATGTGTCTTGGAAGAGTTAGGTGCAAACGGGCAGTGTTGGTGAAGCAGAGACAGGCGCAAATAGGGAAATGTAGTAGGACTGATGTTGGCACCATCTAGCGGAGGTAGCAGGGCAGATCTAGACGCACACTGCGGAGATACGTGCAAACGTGTATTGTGAGCGGGGGAAAGATACTCATGTGGACAGAGGTGGTGGAAAAGATAGACGCAAATGGACAGGGTTGGTGGGATGGAGATGGGCGCAAACCGGTAAAGATAGTGGAGAAATGATAGACGCACACAGGCTGAGATGGTAGGAGAGATTCAGACAAAAAGTGGCATTGTTGGCAGGGCAGATTTAGCGGTGCAATCTGGCAGAGGTTGTGGAGCATAAATAGATGCAAGCTGGTAGCGTTAACGGTGAAGAGATAAACGCGAACGGACGTATGTGGCGGTGCAGAGATAAACCGGTAAAGAGAGTGGAGACATGATAGACGCACACAGGCTGAGATGGTAGGAGAGATTCAGACCAAAAAATGGCATTGTTGGCAGGGCAGATATACACGCAAACTGGCCGGGAAGTAATAGATGGAAATTGGGAAGATGTGGACCGGCAGAAATAAACGCAAACGGACAGAGTTGACAGGGAAGAGATTGACGCAAACGGGTATTGTTGACAAGGAAGTGATAGACGAAAACGGGTAGATGTGACTGGTTAGGGATGCTGGTTAGAGAAAGACGCAAATGGGCAGAGACGTAAACAAACGACTATTGTTGGTGCGGCAGATATAGTCGTAAACTGGCATTGTTGGCAGGGCAGAGATCAACTAAAATGTGCAGATCTAGATGCAAATGGGCAGACTTGGAGAAACAAATATAGGGGTAAATGGATAGCGCTTGTAAGGCAGAGATAAGCGCCACAGTTGGCGGTGCAGAGATTGGCGGAAACAGGCAGAGTTAGCGGTGCAATCTGGCAGAGGTTGCGGAGCATAAATAGATGCAAGCTGGTAGCGTTAACGGTGAAGAGATAAACGCGAACGGACACATGTGGCGGTGCAGCGATAGGCGGGAACGGACAGAAGTTCCAGGGCAGAGATTAATGCAACAGGCAGATTTAGCGTACAGATGCAAACAGACACTGATGCCGTGGCAGCGTTAGACATAAGTGGACAGAGGCGGTGGGACAGGGATAGACGAAAGCTGATAGCGTTGGCACGACAGATATAGACGAAAACAGGTTTTGTTGACGAAGCAGAAACGGACTCGGTTGGATAGATTTCGCGGAAAGAGATAGACAGAAACGGATGTCAACGGACGCAAATGGGCAGAGGTAGGGGTCAGAAACAGGCGCAAACATTCTGAGCTGATTGCCGAGATTGTGAAAAACTGGTAGAGGTCATAAATAGACGTAAACAATCATTTTGGGCTGGGTAGAGATAGACGCAAACGGAGAGAGTTGGCGGGACAGAGAAAGATGCAAACCGGCGGAGTTTCTGGGGTAGATATTGACGCACGCGGGCACAGATGGCTAGTCAGCGATAAATGCAAATAGGCAATATAGGCTAGACAGTGATATTAGCAAACGAACCGAAGTGCTGGGGCAGATATAGACGTAAACGGATAAATGTAGCGTGGCAGAGATTGGCGGAATTGGGTATTGTTGGCGGATATAGATAGACGTAAATAAACGTTTCGGATCAGAGATAGGTGGTGTGGAAGAGATAAGCTCAAACTTTTCGGTGCAGAGATTGACAAACACAGATATTGTTGGCGGACAGGAAAGGCGGAAAACAGGGAGAGGTGTAGGGGCAGAGATCGACGCAAAAAGGCAAGGTGGCGCGGTTGAGATAGACACAAATGAACTTAACTGGTAGCCGAGATTGAAAAAAATGCTGACAGAGGTGGCTGGTTAGTAATAGACGCAAAGGATTATATCTGACGGAGTAGAAATAGACGCAAACAGGCAGAGTTGGCGTACCAAAGTATTGGGAGAATATACAAACAAACAGATAGAGTTAGCGGAGCAGAGACAGACGCAAACGGGAGGAGACAGATAGACACAGTAGGGCAGAGTTGGCCAGGTAGAGATATACACAAATAGAAAGAGTTGGCTGGACAGAGAGACGAATATGAACAGAGTTTGTGAACGAAAGACAGACAACAACGGGCAGATTTTGAGGATCAGAGATTGACGCAAACTGGCAGAAGTGACAGGAAGAAATAGGCACAAACTTGCAGAGTTGGTGAAGTAGAGGTAGACGCAAACGGGGTTGAGTTGACGGGTCTGCACATCTGCCCATTTACGCCTATGTCTGCTCCGCTAACTATATATGTCCCGCTAGTATATGTCCCTGTATGTGATCCACCAGTTATGCTAGTTCTCCCCTACCTCAGCGGCGCAACCTCTCCGTTTGCACCTATCTCTCCCGACACCTCAATTTGTACCCTGCCAGCAACACCTGTTTCAGTTCATCCCTGCCCCACCAAATTTCCATTTTGCTATCAATGTTCGTTTGCATCATTAGCCTCCGACAACTCTGCAGGTCTGTATATATCTGCAACGCCACTTCTGCACTTTGGCGACTATCTCTGAAGATTTTCAATGCGTCTTCTCCGCTTTTCTGCCCGTCAAAGTTCCCGCCACCTCTGACCGATTGAACTTTCTGTTGGCACAAATTCTGTTTCCCGTTTTTGCTGTAGACATGGTATGAAATTCCGATGTTCAATAACTTTTCCACTTCCGTTAATTTCTAAAGGTTCCGCTAAATTTCCTTTTTCTTTTATCGCTGGGCCTTCTGAGCTCTGGCTGCTGATTGCTCGTATTGGAACCTCAAACGTCGTCAAAGACGACGTCCATAGTGTCATCTATCTTTACCCCATCCCTGTCGACTACGTGTTCTGTTGTGACCGTTTTCTAATTTTAAAAACTAATACAAAATGACGTTTGTGTATAAACTTCGGTCCCTGAACCATGTAAATCATGTTACCAATTTGTTTGTCTATTGTTCCTATCTCCCAGTGAGATTTATTATTCCCCCAATACAAGGCCGAAAAAACCTTTTCTCACCCGATCTTAAAAATATTTTTAATGAACCCGCCTTTATTCCTTTTCCCGCTTTCTGTTTCACTCGGAAGGAATTTGTCAAATGTCGATTTTATTTTCCTGGCAAACATGACCTCCAATCTGGCGTCTTGGCAGATGGAGCACTCCTATTAATCTTATACAGGCGATAGACCTGCAAAATAGACTGCTTTATAGGGAGCATCAACACCCCCCTTTCCAGCCTGACTTCATATGGAGTCTTTCTTTTTTTTATAATTACCTCTCAATACATTCCTCCAAATAAACTCTTTTTCAAAAAAAAAATCCAAAAAACGCTTTGCCTGTCCATTACTTCTTTTTTGATATGGCGCCGTGGTAATATGTTCGATTTTAGGAATGACTGACAAAATTCTTAAATTCAAAATTAAGGATGTGAACTATGTGGCATTGTCTGTTACGATACAGTCAACAACTCCGAAACAGGGAAAATAGCTCGTTTTTTTTTTTGCTCATTTTACTTTTCACCTCCATGGTCGGCTTCTTACATTTTTCAATATTTCTGGCCAAATGGAATAACTGTCAACCTTCTACAAGGTAGTAAAAACCATCAAACGGGCCAAGCAAAATCATATGTCATCCGGGACCACGGACGGTCGGTTTTAGGCCCCTGGGGCTTTTAAATTTTATCGGGGTGCTTTAAAAAAAAAAAAACCCTTTGCACGATCTTACAGTGTTTTCAATATCCTTGTCCATGTTGGTCCAGTAGACGGAAACTCCTCATCAGACTTTTCATTCTTGAAGTTCCTGCTATTAGGATGGCCAACACCTGGAAAAACTTTAATTGTTCTTTTCTGTCAGTGTAGATGGGATTACTACTCTGTCTCCGTACATTAGTATGTCGTTACAGAGTGAGTAAACTTCTGAGATATTCTGGTCTTTACTATTTAGTTTGTCCTTTTACTTCCTTTATGAACTCATCATCGGACGCTTTGTCTATTATCTCGTCAATTGTTATAGGAAGCTCCCCTGACAGTATTGCACAAGGTACTTTTTATTTCGACCTCTGTTCTTATGGCAGCAATGACTGTGTCTTCCAGGGGTTCAGCATACTTTTATCAATCTAGACAACCCGTCTGCATGACAGATTTTTAGTGGATGGGAGAAACTCCATTTTGTAGTTATAATTGAGGAGAATGGTTCCCCATCTTTGCAGTCTATTAGCAGTATGTGTTGGCAGACCCTTTTTTGATCTTTTCTGATAGTAAGGAGTGGACGATGGTCTGTCTGCAACAAAAAATGTCCTTCCATGAATAAATCTATGAAATTTAGTCACCGCAAAAAAATGATTCCTAAGGCTTCCTTTTCTATTTGCGAGTAACCCTTTTATCTCGCTGGTAATAGCGTCCTAGATGCATGGGGTTTTTTATTGGTTTTACCGATCCATCCTTTAACTTGTGATAAAATGCACGCCCCTGATGCCAGATAGGAGGGCTAGCATCGCTGGCTACAATGATGTCAAGGTTTGGATCGTAATGAGTCAGGAACAGATCTGATGTAAGGACCTCCTTTATTTTCTCAAATGCTTCCTGGCATTTGGTTGTCCATTCCCACTCTTTATCTTTTCTCAATAATTCATTAAGTGGAGCTCTCAAACTATGAATTCTTGGAACAAAAACGTTGTAATAATTGGCAAGACCTAAAAAACTTTGAAGAGCCGACACATTTTCTGGTGCTGGCATATTCTTTATTGCCGTTGCCCTATCTGGGTTGGGACGTCTTCCGTCTTTGTCAATTATTTGCCCCAAGTACTTAATCCTCTCTAAGAAAAACTCACACTTCCTGTCTTTTAATTTGAATCCGTAATCCTGGATTCTCCTGAACACCTGCCAAATGTGTGATTTGTGTTCCTCGATGCTCTCGCTTTTCATTAGGACGTCATCGAGATAGGCCACCGCAAAATCCAGACCATTTAACATCGTGTCCATGACCTGTTGAAAAATGGAAGGGGTGACCTTAAGTCTTAAAATTTGTATAAACCCTTTTGGGTGCTTATGCAAAGGACCTTCGAGCAATCCTCGTCCACGGGTATTTGTAGATATGCGTCGCTTAAGTCAATCTTAGAAAAATATTTTCCTCCACTGAGCTTAGCGAATATCTCCTCTGGACTTGGAAGGGGATAATGGTGATCCTTTAGGGCGCTGTTCAGCCCCGTAGAGAAGTCAGCACATACACGAATTTCTTTGCTCTTTTTTTTAATATAAACTGTGGGAGATGCCCATTCACTATATTCAACCTTTGCCAGAACTCCCATTTCCTCAAGTCGATTCAACTCCTCGTCAATTTGATTTAACGAGGCAAATGGAACGTTACGTTTTTTTTTTTAAAAACTGGGTTTACGTCTGGCTTTAACTCAAACTTAGCAGACATTTTTGTGCATTTTCCTAGTCCTCCACTGAAAACGTCAGAAATTTTTTTTTTAAATTCACCTTTCAACTTTTCTGCTTCGTCAGTCAAATTTTCGACTTTTTGACATAATGAGTTAATAGGCATATCCCAAAGTTGAAACTGTTCTAACCAATCAGTCCCGAACAAATTACCCGTATTCTTCATAATATACGCCTTTAGTTTTAAAGTTTTACCTTTGAATGACACGTTCGTTATAAGTTCGCCCATAAACTTAATAGGGTCGCCAGTTACACTTTTAGCTATTCGGTTCGTTCTTAACAAAGTCGGCTTACCCAGTTTTTTCCATGTTTGATAATTAATTATGGATAAGTCTGAACCCGAATCAAGCTGTAGCCTTATATTTTTGTTAAATATTTGCACTTCAATATATTTCCTGATGTTACAACTTTCTGGTTCATCAGACTTGGTAATTTTTACAAAACTTTTTTTTGTCTTGTTCTTAATCCTGCAGTGGGAACTTTTGTGTCCCAATTTATCGCAATTAAAACATTTTTTATCTTTAAAAGGACAATCTCTATACCAATGTAATTGACCACACCCGAAACATGGTCTTGACGGCAAAGTAACTTTATTATTTTTTGGTTGACCCTTTTAATTTTTTTTTTGGCGTATTTTTTTTTTAATGTGAGCCACGCCACTCTGTTCGATGTTTTTCGAATCCTCTCTGACGCTCACGAAACGTTGGCAATCTTCAACAACTTGCTGTAAAGTAACGTCGGGCTCGTTTTCAAGCTTGTTGAGTACCCTACGACGTATTTCGGTGTCTTTCGCTGAAATCAAACCCTGGACGAAAATCAGGCATTTAAAATTATTGGCGCTTAACTCTGTCAATTTGAAGTCATCGCAGTGTTTATTGACTACACTCGCGAAAGTAGTATAATCTTCGTCTTCTTTGCGGGTGAGATTCATGCATTTCCAACGCTTGTGGAACAGTGATGTTTTTGGACTGAAGAGTTCTGTTAATGATTGAACCGCCTCTTTAAATTTCAAGTCGCTGGTTTTCTTAGGCAAAATATAGTTAACAAACTTAGTATATTCTGCTGTGCCTAATTTCCTGAGGAGTAGGCGAACCTTTTTATGGTCAGCCCAACTTGCACAATCTGTATTGTATAAGTCCTCGTAACGTTTAAAGTACGAAGAGAATGTAATTTCTTCTTCAGGTGCAAACGTGAAGTTTTCAATAGCACTCCATATAGCATTTTTTGAGAACGCGTTTTCGCTGTCCTCATTTTGGCTTTTGATGGATATATTATACAAGTGCCTTTGCTCATTCTGTGTTTGAAGGAGCATTTCTTCCAGTTTCTGTTGTCTAACCTGAATTTCTAGGTGCAATTCCTCAAATTTCTTCTGGTATTCTGCTTGTTCTCGTTGAAATTTCTCTTGTCTTTCTTGATATTTCTGTTCCAACAGTAGTTGTTTTTCCTGTTGGTGTTTCATCAACTCTCATTGCACTTTTTTTTTCGTCCATTTTACTGCGGTAGTAACAGTAGTTGTTTTTTTCTTTACCCTGTTGGTGTTTCATCAACTCTAGCATTGCACTTTTTTGATTCGTCCATTTTACTTTGTTGGCGGTGGTACGTAAAAATTAAGAAATGAGAGTTTCTGTTTTTGACTGGGGTTGAATTTTTTTGTCTTTTGATTAGAATTCTTTAACCAACAATAAGTTTAACGTGTTTTTTGACTTGTAAGATTCTTTTTACTGAAAAATTTAAAACAGTAAGGAAGAGATTACACGTCTAGGGGTGTAAATTTTTGACTTTCCTACACCCTATTTTAGCGGCGGAAAAACAA